CGGGAGGACAATTTTACTATAAGATTTGCCCTGAACCTAACCCCAAACTAACCCTTAACTTAATTTTAATAAAAAATTGAAAACACGTGACTGGACACGGCTTTAGACGTCCCCTAAAAGAGGCAATTGTTATATGAATGCAAGTTCTTTCACCTCGAATCAATAAACTAACTTATTATATTCAGTAGCTATTTGTTTTTTTAAATGTTAACCATTGTATGCATCACACAAAGTGATTAATATTTCAAATCTTGCAATTGTATGCACTTCGAAAGTAATATTTTATAATTGTATGCACTTCAAAAAGTAATATTTCAAATCTTGTAATTGTATTTGTGTACACTTCAAAAAGTTAGCACAGTATAAATTAATCTGCTAGAATAAATTTATTAATGTAATATTATGTCAACAATTAAAACAAACATTAAAAATAAATAATAAAAAACATAGCCTGAATTAATAATAAAAACAATAAAAGTTTTTCTAAATCATCTTTTTTAAAATTAATAAAACATACAATTATTTATCTTATTGTTCCTAGTTTTTCTCAATCATCCCAATTATAAAGCATATATTAATTTTTTTTCTCATAAATATCGAGTACAATCTACAGATAGATAGTAAAAATGCTAAAAAATGAGATACTAAAACTATACTAATAAACCAATAAGTTAAAAATATTTTAAATCATATCTACAAAACTAACAATGATCTGTTTTGATTGCAAATGCAATTGTACTAAAGATCAATTTGTTTGGAATGGTATTCAACACAGGACTTGTAGAAGGTGTAAAGAAAATCATGACCAAAGGAGTAAGAGGAAATTGCCAGTTAGAATTGTAACTTCACCTATTGATTTTGTTAAGCAACCTGAAAGTATCAAGCATTTTATTGGTTTTATTGAGCAACCCGAAAGTGTTGAGCATACCATTAATTTTGTTGAGCAATCTGAAAGTGTTGAGCAATATTCTTTAGAAATTAGATGTTGATATTAAACATATTGAAGTTGATTGTTTTGATGTAGGTGATTTAATTGAGCACCAAATTAATAGTTAATGGTAAATAAAACAGTCAATTTAGTTTATCAAATCTACTGTTAGTGAATGTTAATATAACATCAGATATAATAGCAAAAAACATTGCTACTCTCATTGTTGCTGAAATAGAAGGTGGCAATGACTATCTATGGAAGTAAGTAAAATTTGATTTTTATTATCGTCATAGTTGATTTAAATTGAAAGTTAAACCTATAAAATTTTGAGACTCTTTTCTTTTGTTTTTTTTTTCATTTTTTTCTATCTCTTAATTTTTCATAATATCATAATATGAAACTTTTTTTAATAAACTTAGCTGGCTGGTTTTTTTTCTTACAATATTTTTTTTAATTTTTTTAGAAGCTTATCCGGTTATTGAAATTTTTCAATTTAGACACAGTTAGATTATGAGAACCAATTCATTAACTTCACATAGCCTATTTTTTTATTTTTTTTATTTTTTATGTTTTATTTTTTAATTTTATTAAAATAGATTTCGAATATTAGTATAGCATAAATAATTAACAAATATACACTT